GGAGATCCGTCATATTACCACCCTTGCTGCTTTCAAGAAAGCATTGAAAACGGATCTCTATCGGCAGGCCTTCCCGGAATAACTCTCCGGCTCCAGGAGATAATTTTATTGCCCTCCTCCTGCTGCTCATTTTGTATTCTGTTGTACTGTTATGTCATTATTATTGTGTTATATTTTGGAGCATGTTGTTTTAATTAATAATCAGTTTAATATTGTTTTAAGGGGTGGGAGGGCTGGATGGGTATGTGAATTGTTTTAACCTCTGTATTTCTTGTATTTTAATTGATGTAACCCACCCCGATTGCTCCGCAGAGGGGCGGGCTATAAATAAAAATTATTATTATTATTATTATTATTACTATTACTATTACTATTATTATTATTACCTAATAAGAGAAAGCATCTCACTCCTTCCATGCCTCTGGTTAGCTACCATGGGACACAGAATGCTAGACTAGGGCTGCATCTGCACTGCAAATATAATTCAGTTTGATAGCTCTCTAACTGTCATGGTTCAGTGCTATGAAAGTCTGGGAACTTCAGTTTTGTGAGACATTTAGCCTTCTCTGTTAGAGAGCTCTGGTGCCCCAACAAACTACAAATCCCAGAATTTCACAGCATTGAGCCACAGTAAAGTGGTGTCAAACTGGATTATTTCTGCAGTGTGGATGCAGCCTAGGTCTGATCTAGAAAGGCTTTTCCTACATTCTTAATGCTATAACAACAAACTAAAGGGCATTCAAGAAGAGGACTATTTCCTGGTTATTTTGAAGGTATTTGGAAGAAAGGACACTTGAAAATGCAAGACATAAGCGAGTCTCTTACCATAGATATCATCTTGGAAGTGGGACAGTGTAGGGATAAAATTATTTGATGAAATTTCTGGTGAATTTACCTTCTGGAGATGTTTTGACTACATAAGAATAGGCTTTCAGGAAAATTAGAGGGGTATAACTACAAATGTTATTTGGGACATTCTGCAATTTCTCATTGACCTTGCATTGTTCCTTATTGATGTTCTGCTGATCTTATCCTTATCTGTGATTTTACTGATATTGCTTTTATTTTACAGCATTAGCCGTTTGATTAATTTAGCTCCTTCAGAACGAAAGGCAGAATATACAAGCTGACTAAAATCCAAAGTGTTTCAGTGAATATTTTGGGATCAGATGTTGGATTTGGCATCACTTTTGCTGAATTCTGCCCCCAGATGTCCTGCCTGGTACCCACTCTATTATCTCCCAACCACCAGACTGGGAATTTACATTATTTTTTCAAGTGTTAAAGAAATGTCATTTGGCTAGAATTTTAATTTAATTGTTTTATGTTGATTGCAAATATTTCTTATTGAAAATTAATTTAATGTGACCCAACATGAGATTTATGTGTCTCTCCCAAAAAAACTGAACAAACAAAACAAAACAAAACAAAAACAAGGTTCAGAAGCATTGCATGGAAAATTACTTTTCAAATTATTTCTTTATGTAACACATTGCAAAATTCCCAAAGGGAGATAATTACCACTGATTGAAAAACCACAACCACCATCCAGTCAGCTACTCATTCTTCTTCTTAAAAAGTATGGTCTTCTTCTTAAGAAAAAATGGTCTAAGATGGCGAAGGTGAAATTCCCACCAAAATGCATTTTAGCCCTCCTAAAGAAACAAGTAGATATTATGCATTAAGTGAAGGGAAGAAGTGTCAGTACCAGTTGTTATTTCTGTATCTACGGTATATGTTTGTGTTTGTGAGGATTAAGTAATATGTTGCAGCCAAGATTGTTACTTGCAACATATTACTATCAATCTCTGGACAGTAAAAATGTTAATATTCAAACCTGAAGGGTTGTAAGATCTTTTGTAAAAGCCAGAAGATATCCCTAATAGCCATTTCATTTTCTGTGTGTGACTTAAAAAAAATAATTTGAACATTAAAGTGCAATGATAATCTATTTCAACAATCAAAAGGATGAGTTGCAGCCAACAGGACATGAAAATCCATCTCAGGTTTCATACTAGATGAATAATTTTCAAACACTGTAATGAAGTTTTAATACCTTTAGAAACTACCCACTATTCTCTCAAGAAAGTAAAAAACAAAAACAAAACACTGTTTATATTTTTTGCCATTGTTCAGCATTGTTGATCAAGAAAAAGAGATAATAATCTCTGAAAGCCAAAAAATTACTGTGAACTGTCTCTATCTATCTATCTATCTATCTATCTATCTATCTATCTATCTATCTATCTATCATCACTATTTACCCTAAATGAAGAAATGAAATCTAAATAGGAAATAATATAATGGCAGCACTTAGCAACACTTGGGACATTATAACTGTTATCAATAGTGCCATTCAAATCTGTCTGAAACATTATTTTTCTTATGCTTGTCATTTTAAATGTTAGCCTGATGTTCAGTGGGCTGAACTACTTTTATTTGAATGCATTTAGCCCACAGTTAACAGCCATCTCAGGCTTTCTGGGGACAGGCTCAGTCTGTCAGGCAAAATTCTATGTTCATGCAAACGTATTATGGCATGGTTCAGACACTATGTCTTTCCCTTGGTGAGGACTGTACTGGAACCCAAGAATGAGATGCATTCCCCTCCCTGGAACATAGTTTTGTTCTTTCAAATTCATGACTTTTATTATCAAGATTGGGTCATAATATGGCTGCTTAGAATACCATCCTATATAGATGCCAAACTGGCTGGGCAGAAGCCCTTCTCTACTGGTGGAATGCCAGATATGAGCCACCATGACATGGGCCTCCTCTGACACACCAATAAAGTTGGCAAAACATCCAAAATGGGGCAGATATATAGGCAGAACAGACTGGTGAAGGGAAAAAGCACAGTTGTGCTGCATCTTACATTTGTTCAATCCATTATTAATATGACAGAAAGGACGCTCTGCAAAACTTGTATGGGAGGACAACCTGGACACAGACAAAATAATAATAATAATTATAATTATAATAATTTTTATTTATATTTCCCGCCTCTCCCTATGGATTGAGGACAGAGGACAGAACAGTCTATCTTTTGATCACATGCTGAACTTGAGCACATTAATTATTTAATTATTAATATATCTGATGATGGGTACTGTGTCCACAAAAGCTTATGCTAGAAATGTCTTTTCCCCCAGTTGTCGTCTACAGATGTTTCTGGATTCCTTTATTTCTTTTTATACTAAAACAGATGAAGATGTCTATCTCTTTGAATACTGCACTCATCAGCTTCAGTGTCTTAGAAGCCAACATCCAACAGCAAACATCAATTCACTTCAACAGAGTGAGCTTCCCACATAAGTAAGTAAAGTAAGCTGTTATATGTCACTTTGTTTCCCCAGCTTTGCACTACGACATGAATGGTGTTTCACCTGAATTGGATTTGTCTTCATCTTCTTCCACACCCCAGACGTTAGAATGAGGTCTCTCTGGGTGCTTGTGGTGACACTACACTGTCTTTTTTCTAGCTTCTTCATAAATACATGCTAGTTCAAGCACTTTATGCTCCAAACAGAGACTATTGCTCAGTGTTTCCCTTTACTACTTTTATTCCTTCCTACGGGTCCCATATTCAGTCCTGTGCACACTAAGAGGAAGGCCGATTCCATGATCAACACTTGTGATCAGGATGCCTGTAACTGCTGCTTTCTGGGGCTGCTTGGGTGGCAGGCCAGTGCATCTCTATTTCTCTTGCCAAGGTCCATTTCATAACTGGCGCTGTTCAGATTGCTATATATTGCTTCTCAGCTAGGTGGTGGCAGTGATTGGTGGTTAAGTACACTTTCCTACAACCTAGTACAAAATGGCTTCAGCTGGTTATGGGGTTCTTGGGAAACAGGCTCTTCAACTTTCAGCTCTTTCCAGCTCAGTGGGGCTGAATCTCCCAAGTTATCGAAGAGGAACAGCTATCAGAGTATGTGAGATAATCTGGAGGGAACAGGATCATCAAGAGGGTGAGGTGAACAAGGAAGTGAATGTGGCTTGCTAGGATGCTGACCTGCAGTTCTGACAAAGAAAGCAAATTGGTTGGGATGGGGTTGGACTGGTATCATGTGCTGCCATGCTGACTGATTCTTGACACTGGTGAGCCATGCCTCACTACTAGATTAAAATTGATGGGCAGTGACAGTAGTGCTAAGGATGCTGCGGGGGGGAGGGCATGGCTGGCATTTTTGTGGGTTCCCTTTCTTTCTGGTCCAGTTCCTGAAGCAGGGAACTGCATTTCCAATCTTGACACAACTGCAGTTTTGCTTTGTTCCCATTTCAGCTTGTGTTCCTTCAAGGTATAAAGAAATCTGCTCGTCGGTCAAGTTTATGAACCCCATAAAGTGTTTTTAGTGTCTGTTACAGAACAAAAAATGTTTTAAAACCTTTCATAAATTTAATTATATCTGGCTTTTTATTTCTGGAGATCTCTCTCTAGGGTGCAGTCTGTGTTAACTGATTTTGATGCAATCTGTCATTAGTATCTTAATAACAATTAATGCATTATCCCCCTCCCGCACCCCTATACACACTATAATATCCTTTCTCAAATAATCCACTGCTAGATAGCCCTTTTCAAAATACTAACAATGCCAAACAAAACAAAGCATAACAATAAGTTTGTTGCATGCACACAAATATTTAAAATATTGTATGAAATTACCTTCAGGCTATGTGTATATGGTATATATGAAACATAAATGAATTTTGTGTTTAGACTTGGGTCCGATCTCCAAGATATCTCATAATGTGCAGATATGTAAATATCAAAAAGTCAAAAGACTTTAAAAATGCAGAACACTTCTGCATCTAAGAATCATGGATAAATGATACTCAATCTATACTACTTAACAACAAGAACAAGAACAACAAAAACAACAACAACAATAACAACAAAGGCCTCCTTAACTAGTCACTAGACACACTTGCTTTGGGTTTAGAAGATGGTTCTTCTTTGAGCCCGAAGGAATGAATTTTGAGGCAAATCTTGGTAAATTTCTCCCTGCCCCATGCTCTAATTTGTATGCAAAAATCCAATTATTTAAAATAACTTCACAACAGCATGCATTGTAAATTACTGTTTCGGTAACTACACACTGCCCGTTGATGGGATACTTAAGCTACATTGTTGTTTTTGTTGTTGTTGTTGTGTACCTTCAAACTGTTTCTGACTTATGGTGATCCTATTGTATCACAAGATTTTCTTGGCAAGCAAAGTTCAGAGGGCATTTACCATTGCTGAGCCTGAAAGATTCAACGCTTAAAGCACTACACCTCTTGCTACAAAAAAACCAAAACAAACTACCTATGACCCTTAGAACACATTTCAAACTTTTGTCAGAGGGTGCAGTCTTCATTAGAGCAAGACAGCTTTGTACAGCCCACATGTTCTACTCTTCAAGTGTGAACTACCTGATCCTAGGTTATGACATTCAAAATCCTCTTGAAGTTCTTGAATGTTTACAGTTCTACCCTTCTAAGTATGCATAGCCATCTGCCCCCTTGATAAGCAAATGCTGCTGATGTCTTAATCCCCTGTGAGAAAGAAAATACTTCTTTATCAGACTTGCCTTAACCAGATTTTGAATTTAGGAATCAGGGTGGGCATAATATTGCTACACTCCAGATGTTGATAGACTTCAATTTTCAGCATTTCCCACAACTTGTTATGATGGATGTGAGTGATGGAATTTGCAATCCAACAACATATGTGGGGCCTCACATTCTCCATGGCTGCCCTAAATAATTAACAAAGTCATTCTACAGTTAGTGGTCTTGAGTGTGAATTTACAACAACTGAGTTCTTATTCTGAACTATAGTTCTAAGGAATATACAACAATAATCATCAGGCTCTTTGTAAAGATAAAACTTTTTACTTGAAAATTTATGAGAGAACCTTAAAAAATGTGATCCCTGGTTCTCTGTGCTGCAAAATATATATGGCTTATTGACAAATGACAAACCAAACAGACTTCTAAATCACAGTACAGTTAATCACACTCTCTTCAGCCAGCCAGGAGAACCAGCCAGAGTGATATATGGTCCTGACACTCTGTCCTGAATGCCAAAAGTTTCCACCACTGAAGAACCAACAAGGGAAGGTAATTGTGAGCCAAAGGCCCTCCAGTGAATGGACACTCCCTCTGACATATAGATACAGCATTAAAAAAACCAATAAAAAGCACAGACCCATCACCATTCATCAAAACAGCTATGACAGTGAGTTGACCCTCACTTACTCATGACTCAAGCCACAAAAGACAATGTAGATCAATAAAAGAACCTTGAATAGTTGCCTGCAACTGAACATGTATTTATCAAAATGCCATTACTCCTAGTTCACACAGCTAAGCAAGTTGTCAACTCTCTCCTACAGCAAATTTCTACAAGAAATTTGTGAAAGGCACAGTGACTGACAAAAAGTCTTACTTATTGAAATTTAAGAAGGTGGGGACATGAATAGCCACCAATAGGATGGCCGCATATCACCTCCAGTGTAAGAGGCAGTATGCTTCTATATATCATTTTCTGGGAACAAAGGATGAATATAGATTTCCCATAGGCAATGATTGGCCTTTGACTTGATCCAACTTGGCTCTTCTTGTCTTATATACACTAGGCAGCAATTTGGTGCTCATGGGATTAAGTATGCCCTCCAGATATTTTCACTGGCACCCACCAAGGTGGGTGTCAATCTCACACTACATTTCTTTAAAAAAAAATCTTGTTCGGGGACAGTTCAGAGATCAAGAAAGCCTGGGAGTACAAGATACATGCCAGGTTTTCTGGAAACCAATATGGGATGTGTGAGGCAGGCTTACATAAGACCAATTCAAGTCTCATAAGAGGGAGGCCTCTCTTGAGATATCAGCACATCTGTGAGATTTCAAATCTTACAGAAACCAAAACCACAGAGAAATCTCATGATGGTGAATCACTCATTGTCACATGAAAACTTTGCTGCTCAGTGTCACCCTGGCAGGACAAACAGGAGCATTGTCCTGCCATGTCAGTTGTGATCCTAGCAAACATATCTCAGGCATTAAATATATCTCAGGCATGTGTAAACCGTATGGCACATAATAATAATAATAATAATAATAATAATAATAATAATAATAGATGTAAGGTTTGATTTTTCCATATTTAGTAAATATTGATGGGGAGGGGAGTACAGTTGGAGGCCAGGTGGTGCCTGTCTCAAGTACAGGATTTTGAACACCCCATATCAGCCTGATATGTGATAACAATCTAGGACCCCACATACAGTATGTCCCACAGAAAACAGAACACCTGATAAAGATAGAGTTGGGGAAAGCCTGAAGGGTATTAATATAAACATTTATATAATGTATTTTCTCTAAAAATAGGACTCAAGGTGGCTTAGTAGAATACAGATTCTAGTAAGCTACAGGGGCCAGAGGTATGGGGTGGTTTGAGTGTTGGACTATGACTCTGGAGACCAGGGTTCGAATCCCAGCTTGGCCATGTAAACCTACTTGGTGACTCTGGCTAAGTCACACTTTCTGAGCCTCAGAGGATGCCAATGGCAAACCCCCTTTGAAGAAACCTGCCAAGAAAACCCCATGATAAGTTTGCTTTGGGATGCCATAAATTGGAAAGACTTGAAGGCAAACAACAACAACAGCAACAATAAAAACAATAACAAAGCATAGGAACAGAAGTTGATTCAGGGTTTGGAGGAAATGGAGAGCAAGGAGGGATGTGTCTGGAGGGGTGTTTTCCATATGCGGTGTATGAATTCTGTGTACTGTTCCAGTTACTTCTCTTTTTAAATCTGGCTGTTTCTCTTGAGGTCTCATTAACTGTAGCTGTTTTCTGAACAGCCACAACCACAAAGCAGCCATTATTAATGGTCTACTGTCCTGGTTTGTACTTGGGTGCAAGACTGCCAGTGAATATCAGGTGCTCTAGGCAACAATTCAGAGGAAGGAACTAGCAAAACCACCACTGAGTATTCCTTGCCTAAGAAACCTTGATGAAATTCATGAAGCTGCCATAAGTTGACAGGCGACCTGAAGGTGTGCACATACACACTCACACACATTAGGGTTGCCATAAATCAGAAATGACTTGAAGGCACACAACAACAACAACAACAACAACAACAGTTTTTGAATATTCCAGATCAGATCATCAGGCTTACAAGTTGGGAATTCTGCATTAGATAATGCTTGAGAACAAAAATAGAGAAATGTTTCCTATGAAAGGCCACTGAAAAACAGGGCTGAATGAAATGGGTGCAATTTGCAGCAGTGACTAGATCATTCCTTTCTGTTCTTTCACACTGCATCCCTACTTTTTTATATATTTCACATAGTTGCATGTAAATGCACACACAGAAAAAGCAGAACAGGCAGAAGTCCAGAGACTGTACCCACAATGGACTGAAACCTGTGTGATGAAGAGGGGCATATGAAATTTAGCAAAGCAAAGCAGCTTCATTTATATACCACTTCATATCACACTATGGGATGTCTAAGCAGTTTACAACTGTAAGCTCATTGCCCCCCCAACAGTTGGGTACTCATTTTAGCGACCTCGGAAGGATGCAGGCCTGAGTCAAGCCTGAGCCCTGGCTAGTATTGAATTCACAACCTTGTGGTCTATGAGTGAGTGGCTACAGTACAGGCATTTAACCACTGCGTCACCAGTTTAGCTGAAAACAAGAGATTACCCCCTCCAAAAATAGCAGAATGGAGAAATCAGTACAGTGACTTTCAGATCTTTTGAACAGCTTCTATAATGCCCAATCACTGGTCATGTTGGTTGGGACTTATGAAAGTTCTCACCTAAAACATCTAGTAGGCAGTGCTGAAAGATACAAAAGGTGTCTCCATTTTGTAGAACCAATGCAGATGAAACATTTGATAATACCAAAGAGTAAAAAAGAAAGAAAGAAAAAGAAAAAAGAAAGTCTGAGCTCACCACCCCTAAGAAAAACTATTCTGATTAATTACTGTAAGTAGCTACCAATGATATCAGAACTACTGTAGGAGGAGAACAGTTATATGAAAATGATTCAGATGCTATAAAAATTTGGCCTAACACAAGCATAGCCAACTGGCAGCCTCCAGGCTTGATGTGATCACCAAGGAAATTTTATCTGTTTCCCGGCAGCACTATAAATTTTTAATCAAGGTGTCCTAAACTGTTTGCCCACAGTTCCACTCACAGGAAAAAGCTGTAAGGGGAAAAAAGGCTTTAATGTTGCCTCTTTCTCCTCTGCATTTTATTTGTACTATGCAAGTTATATGTAAATATATGCAACAGCAAAATGCTCTAGAAGTATGAAACCATTGCTGTCCTAGACAATTTATTTATTTATATTTTTCCCCGATGCATACACTATAATTTAACAATAAATCAGTCTAAGAGCCCCCTTTAATGACATCCACTCTCCCTCCCCTCCCCTCCCCCAATCATACACTTGTAGAAAACACTTCGCTGTCAATCCTCTTACTTAAAAAATGATGCTATTAAATTATCTATTTTCATCTATGTTAATTGTATCTTCCACTAGTCATTTATCCAAAATTTCACCTGATCCAGCAGTGCTTTGACATTTTATTACAGAACCAGTTCCTTTGTGTGGGGAGTGGTATATGTTGATAGTTATATTTATAGCCTACTGACTTCTTGAGTGAGAATAGAGTAAGCCCAAGAATGCCTTAAATGAAATAGTGCTCTTGCTCCTAACAATAGGTGATGATTTGTGTTAACTATGGCTTACTTGCACCAGGGCAAGGAACTCCTTTTATTTTGGATAATGATTTCTTCATGAAATGTACCAGGAATACCAGTGGCTTGTCTTCCCAATTTCTGCTTTGTTTCTCTCTTCACTCTTTTGTCAACTCCTTTTTCAGGACATGAAACTGGGAAATCAAGCCAAGGCTAAGCATTTCTACATATTTCATACACCACAAAAATACATGGTTTAAACAAGCCAGAATTCATAAGCCAACAACAAGCTAGAACATCAAATTGTGGTTTATGCCAGTGATCAGTCCTTCACTTATTAACAGAGAAGTTTTTTTCATTACAACAAGCCAGCTTCCAACACATGGAATGTTGTGACCAAAGTGTCCAGAAGCCACTCTGACACTGTGATCTGGTCCTTTGGACTGGATCAAAAAGGAGCCAGAATAATCCAGCTTCTGGTGGCAGCCGGCTTGGAACTATGGTGGCAACCCACTTTTGGATTGGGATATGTGGTCGCTGCTGTCACTGTGCAATTGCAGCCAAAGACCGCTCTTTATTGGCCACATGCTTCACCCCTATAATTTCATTTCCAAATAAGGAAAAAAAATGATTTAGCTATTACACAATTCAACCTTCTCAAGAGGTTTTTATCGCCAAACTGTCTTTCATTGGAAGGATACCATTTATTTTTCAGAACACTTCACACAAGTACTACTGTCCATGAACTGTTGTTGTTTGTTGTTAATTGCTCTCAGATCGACTTTGACCTCTGGCAAACCTGTGAATGAGACATCTTCAAAACACCTTATCTTCAACAACACTGCTCAGTTCTTGAAGACTTAGGGCCATGTCCTCTTTGACTGATCCAAGATGCAGGGAGTCTTGGAATATTTCGATGTCATAATAATCCATACTGAATTTGTGAATATTCTCTGTGGACATTACAGTGGTACCTC